AGAGAGAGAGAGAGAGAGAGAGAGGGAGAGAGAAAGAGAGGGGGAAGGAGAGGGAGGGAGGGACGGAGGTAGGGAAAGAGGGTGCACTCTATACAGATATTATACTAATTAATGTAACAGTACACAAAGTATAAAAACAAAACGGCAGTCGTCAAAGAAAACGATTAAGCTCCTCAGCATTTTAATGGGCTCGTCTCAGTGCATTGTGTGAACATAATGCACAGGTCGTGTAGCACCAATCACTATAGGCTACAGATATTTTACCAAATGTTACAGTACATATTTATAAGCAGATTTTACACTGAATGTGACACAGTACACCCTATGCAAACGTTACACCAAATGTAACAGTGTATTATATGTGAGGTGTGCTGACAAAATGAGCTTTCTTTCGGGTTTTAGCCATAAGAAAATTGATACATCAACTTTTTAGGTGGAGTTTATACAATTTGTAAGTATGGAATAAAAAAAGACACGGTAGACTTGAACAAAATGGAATCAACTAAATTTTTCAAAATCTGACCTCTGTGTTGATTTTCGGCCTATATCTCCTTTCTTGGATAGCGAGAAGTAACTCATTTTGTCAGAATGTCTCACATATACAGAATGTTACACTGAATGTGACACAGTACATTCTAGACAGACGTTACATCTACTGTTACAGTACTCTGTACAGATGTTACACCGAATCTTACAGTGGACACTATACAGAGATAAGTATTAAACTTTACAAGATGTTACAGTACACATCCAACACCAAAGAATCAAATGGTTCGGACATCTCATGCGATTACCAACACACCACCCAGCACAACGTGCGCCAACATAAAAAAAATTCGATCGCAACAAGGCAAGAGGGCGACCGAGAAAGACCTGGATAGATGGAGTAAGGGAAACATTAACCACACTCGGCATCCCCCTGACCCAAGTTCTCCGGCTGGTGGCAGAGAGACGTCTTTTTCTTCCCGCAACACCCAAAAGGGTATAAGCGGCGGATAAAAGTAAAGTAAAGACAGCACACATGGTCTACCTGAGGTGCCAGTATAATACCAAGGCCCGAGGCTGACAGAGCTATCCCGTTGACCATTGTCCGGCGAACATCGAAGTAGTAGTTGACTACAATGATGGACGCTGTGTACGTCAGTCCCAGGCCGCATCCTAAAAATTTGCATGAAATTAAAATGTTTTAGAGACAGGCTTATGATGTAATGACAGAGAGTGTAAAGTGGCGATGGGTCAAAGCATACTGCCACAGTCACCAGTAAATACATAATATAGACTAGATTGCTTGCTACTGAAAAAAGTAAGCTGAAGAACGTTTCAGTAAATAGCGCAGGAGATATTATACCGGTACTTAAACAGTGTTCTAGTGTATGGACAACTCTTTACAACGAAGACTATTAAAAGTAAATCGTATACAGCACAAAGTCAAAAGAATTTGATTTTTAGTAAGCGTACTACGGTCCTGCAACACAATTAGGTCTTATTATTTATAAGTGCCGAAGATTAGAGGTCTTAAAAGAGAGTAACACACACAAAACGGAAGGAGGATAGATGATGACGAAAGAAGTTTGATGGGAAAGAAAGGGCAAACCGCACCAGAGCACCCACCAACCACTCACATCAGAAGAACGAGTACAGCTATGCACAGCAACCTGGAGCATGACAAAATACTTGTACAGCAAAGTACAGCAAAGTACAGCAAAGTTCAACAAAGTACAGCAAAGTTCAACAAAGTACAACAAAGTACAGCAAAGTACAGCAAAATACAGCAAAGTTCAGCAAAGTACAGCAAAATACAGCAAAGTTCAGCAAAGTACAGCAAAATACAGCAAAGTTCAGCAAAGTACAGCAAAGTACAGCAAAGTACAGCAAAGTACAGCAAAGTACAGCAAAGTTCAACAAAATACAGCAAAGTTCAGCAAAGTTCAGCAAAGTTTAAAACAAAGTACAGCAAAGTACAACAAAGTACAGCAAAGTTTAACAAAGTACAGCAAAGTTTAAAAAGGCACACATCAAATTCCAATAGCAACAAAGTAACCAAATCCCGACAACGTTTAGCCAAGCATGACAAAGAATGTTCTAAATATGAAGCGTGCTGACAAAATGAGTTACTTCTCGGATCCAAGCCTTTTGGTAACAGATACATCACGCTATTAGTAGCTGAAGTTTTTACAATTTTTAAGTATGGAATAATAAAAGGCACGTTATAATACAAAAAGAATGTGGCATCAATAGAAAATCTACTCATCTGACCCTATAGTGTGGACTTTTGGCCAATATTTAAGTTTGTGGATTGCGAAAAGTATCTCATTTTGTCAGTACGCTTCACATTAATGTTCTGTTGTCTCCGCACCTGCAACAACTCCGAATGTGACCATGAGCATGCCCAGACTGTCGGCCAGAGAACTGGCAGCCAACCCGAGGCCCAGACACGCCCCTCCAGCAATCACAGACAGGCGGCAGTTGCCCAGGTTGGCGGTCGAACTGGACAGGGGACCTTAGAAGAGGGAACAGTTTAAACAAATACATCAAAGATTCAAAGACGACCTTACAACATGACTGTCCTGTCATATCAATGGATATCAGTTAACTGTGTTGTCATATATTACTCTCTCCCTCTCTCTCTCTCTCTCTCTCTCTCTCTCTCTCTCTCTCTCTCTCTCTCTCTCATCCATCCGTAGTCTCCACGATAACTACTGTGAGCAGACAGACACAGCCACAAACACAGCACCGACCCAACACTCAC